GTCAATGGTGCATGGTGTCAAGTTAGCACTACATACTAAATTTTGTTTGAAAATGGGTCAACTCAATTTTTTCCAGAAAAATAAAGCTACACATTTTTTCTTTTCACAACAAATTTTGACTAGATGTATGGTGTCAAGTTAGCACTAAGTAAATACTAAATTTTGTTCGAAAAAGGGTCAACTCAATTTTTTCCAGAAAAACGAAAGCTACAAATCTTTTCTTTTCACAACAAATTTTAATGTTAATCGCTACAATTAATGGCATAGTAACATATTGGATATCTCCATTCTATCGACTAAGTGTTGGTGTCAAGTTAGGACTACATACCATATTTTTTTAAAAATGAGAGCTCCACATTTTTTCTTTCCACAACAAATTTACAACAAAAACAGTACAATTAATGCCTTAGTTAACTTTTCCAATCTCGAAAAGTGTAGTGCTAACTTGACACACGTAAAATAATTATCTTTATTTTGACACATTACTTTTTTAATCGGTTATGTAAGATAGTAATATTTAAAAAATCTAAAAAATAACTTTCAACAGTGAATGTCTTGAAAACTAGAAGGCCCCGACCCCTAAAAGTGGGTATATTTGAAAAGCGGAGAAGGCCAGCTTTCCCACTGCAAAGTCAAAATTTGTCGCCCCGGTTATCAAAATCTCCCCGAGAGTGGGGGGCAATTTTTGTTTTTCGTATATATGTACACGACTTATTTTTAAATAAGTCTATATATAACACAAATACCTCCCATAATTACTCATTTCTATTTTTTTGTGTCTAAATCCCGTTAAACTAATCACACGTTTCTTGCCAACGTTACCAACAGGGTTGCTTAGGTAGGTATAAAAGGAAATTTTACCCGAGTTGAGCGTTCTCTTGTCGCTCATTTACAAAAAAAACAGCGGGTACTCTTTATGAATTTGTACAATGATTTTGGGTTGCTGTGCCCAAACGCGTGAATCGAATCAAAAACTTTTTACACACACTTGTAGACAACAGTTCACGCTTTATTACAAAAATAAAATTTACTATATCTGTGCTCTAATTTATTAATAATGTCGGTTGGAAATATGGTATTTTTTGTGGGTGGAGGGGTGACTTCTCATAAAGCGGCGTCCATCCTCTTTCATTTAGGGGGCGTTTGGGGAGCCACGCCCCCTATTTTATGGCATTTACTTTTTTATAAGTTACAATATATGTCTAATCTGTAAGGAGCTACCGATACTAACATTTGTACTATATTCAGGCTTATAAGCCTGTAATTATAGGTTTGATCCACACGAGCCCGCGGGTACCCGCGGGTGCCCAAAACAGCCCAGAAAGCGTTCCTCACGCTAGAAAAATGTGTAGTAGAGAGCGAATACGTTCCACTTTTGGATCGTAAATGTCGTCTTTGTGCACGAAACAGCCCAGACTTTTTTTCCGGGCACAAATGTGCAAAAGGGCAATTTGAAATAACACCTGTTGGTGTTAAATCCGAAGCAAATTTTATAAAAACAAAAGTGGAAAATATCACAGAATTTTGAGAAAATGTAGTTATTTGGTAATTTTATTAGCCATATAAAATAAATGCATGTAAAATCATTGTTTAAAGCTGATATGTTGATTCCGGGCACGAAATGTGGTTTTTTGCGTTCCTCACGCTCTGGGCACTTTTGGCGCGTGTTGGCACATTTTTGACACTTATGAGAGAGTAACTTATTCTTACGCTCTAATTACCGGAGCAGCCCGGAAAGCGTGGGGAACGAAACTTGTATATTTATTCTGAAATAGAAAGCACAAACGGAGTAAAAGTATTAAATAGNATGAGAGAGTAACTTATTCTTACGCTCTAATTACCGGAGCAGCCCGGAAAGCGTGGGGAACGAAACTTGTATATTTATTCTGAAATAGAAAGCACAAACGGAGTAAAAGTATTAAATAGTTAGTACCTTTGCTACTACTTTAAAATGCGTGACCGGAATATAACTGTCGAAAAAGAGAGGTTAAGCTACTGACAACACCTTGTTATTAGGTTCGTTCGCGTAGCTGTTAATTGTTCATGTTTAACCAAAACTTACAAGTTTTTGCGTTCGCGTACGCAAAAAACTTGCAAAGTAGGGGAAATTGAGAGAGCAAAGTGACACTTCATTTTGAGGGGAAGCTGTTAGTTTCTGTTGGAAAAATTTTTGCCAACAGCAATTTGCCAACAGGGAAACAGCTGATCAAAAACAGCTGGTTGGCGTTTACGCAAATCGCAAAATTGAATTTGATGGTTTGNACCGGTACAATCTAGGTTTATATCTGGGTAAATACTCCTGCACTCCAGCAAACTTTGAGAATCTGTATGCTGTTACAACAACAACAACCAGTTTATTGCAACAAAAAAGAAACACAAAACAAAACTAGGAAAAGCGCAATCACTTATTTTATAGAGTACAATTATTCCTAGTCGTTACTTCAACCAATTAAAATATCTTGGCATAATTTAGCGTTTACACTTTGTAATCAGACAGAAATAGCACACTTTACACTCGAGAATTTTCTATGCATTTGAACATTGTTGTGAAATTCTTACAAAAAAGTGTGAGCAAAAAAAAATGACGTTTTCCTTTCAAGTGGCATTCGTAAGTGGAGTTGCCTGGAGTTGCATTTAGGGCCGGTCAACCATAAACATCTTGCACGAGATGAGTATATGCATGACGCAGCAACAAAACTCATTAAGGCTTGAATACACTTTATACTAGTAAATATATCTATTTATATGGTATACCAACAACAGCAACAAGCGCAACGCTGCAATGAGCTGACACAAAACAACCAGCTGTTCCTATTGCACTTGCCTACTGCACTTTTTTACCAATATGTCTATTGTTTCGATGTTTTTCTTTTTTAAGTTGCGTGTATGTACATATGTATACATTTTCAATTCTATGCACTTCTTATAAACATATGTATAATTATTGACAAGCGAACTGTTCCCGCTCCAATTGGATTCACAATGCAAAGAAGACGACAGAGGACAGAAACGAGGCAGCGGCGTCGCGTCGATGGAAGCAGCACTGACTTTCTTTTTATTTACGCCACGCTGTTCGCGTTTAAACGCATCTTAACACTAAGCAAATTAATAATCCACACATCGCCATAATTTTTATTTGCGCATAGGTACATCGCAAACCACAAAACTTGATTTGCCTGGTCGTTCATTGCCTCGTACCTTCGCTCGTTTGTTCATCGGTTTCTATGCAAATTAACTTCACACACTCACTAATTAAAAACGCTCCGCAATAGTCTGGAAATCCAGTCTTAAATCGTTTATATATATTTTATCGATTTGCTTAGTAGCACGTTTTTGCTTTTATTTAATGAACTTTGTTTTCACTTCATGCTGAACAACGGCGCACCCCGCAGATTTCTGTGTTAATTTTACAAAATTCTTTCGTGAACTGAACCACAACAACTACAACTCGCTATCGTGCTTTTTCTTTCGCATTGTGTTTCGTCGGACTTACTCACCACGGCGGTCGTGTTGAAATTGATTGTGTAGATAAAAGCTTGAAGCTTTTGAAAAGCGTTTCTGATTGGAGAAAATGAGTTAATCTGCTGTTTTAGGGTGTCAGTGGGACATCTATAAAAGGTACTAGGTTAGTGGATTTGAGTCTTGAGATTTGATGTTACCCTTTTTAGGAACGACGTTTCCCTATACAGAAACGAAAACCTATATTTGAAGCTTTTAATATTCTGAAATATTATAATCAATGGTATAAATGCAGATAGGGGCATTAGTCCTGAACATAACGGTGTTCTTTTTTCGAGGTGTAAATAATAATTACTGGTGTTATTGAATGTCGAAAAATCAATTTATCAATTTCTTTTAATTGGAATAACTAAAAAACTACTGCATTAATTTAAAATATTTGGATGTCATTTGAAAGGCATTTTTTTTTTTATAAACATATGTTTTACTTTTTTTGTAATGCTTATGCGAAAAATATGTTTTTATACAAAAAAATTAAAATTAATTACAAAAGGATAAAATTAAAAACAAAAGAAATTTATTATTAATTCACGTTATTGACAACATATAAAAATTAGGTGCAAAAGCTGTTCAGCCTCTCTTCTTCGGCAACACAGAAAGGCGAATTCTACTTCGTGAGGGTTATAGTCCCTCACGAAAAGTCCGGGGTTTTTTTAAAAATGCGACGTGACACCTTCCATGCCTAATTATATTCTCATATCGTTGTTTTAGCTGCTTACTTAGGCCTGTCTACATCGGACTGTCCTTCAATCGCTGTTGGCAAGCACACCTAACAGCAGACCCAGGAAAAGTCATGTTGTCAGGGGTGTTAGATGAGTTAAGTTGAATGGGTATGTGGAGAGGTGGTTGGTGTTTGGTGGTTGGAGTGCAATGGGGTATAGTCATTGCGCTGGGTATGCAGTTAC